GTCGGTGCAAGATAGTGGCCATCATCGACCTAAAGTCAATGATATTCCATAATTGAAAATCGAATATATGCAAGAAATTTTCTGTGAAAATTCCTGCACTGACACCTGTCGGATTTAATTCAACGCCCTTCGCGGTAGTAGCCAGGGGAGTAGTTGTTTTTTGATAGTCGTCAGTCCATTTAACCTACTGTGTAGGTATATCCGAGACTGGCTTGAACGTTTAAAGTTCATTTCTTCAGATTTGTTTACTGCCAGTCTTGAAGCATAGCCCACTGACTAATAAAAATTATAAATAGGAAGCGCCTAATGAAAGATCCCAACAAACATAGACTCTCTGAATCTCTTGAAACTATTTGAGCTTCAATTTCCCAATGGAAATATCTATGAATGGAATAATAGTCATATTACTGACAAAATATAATAACAATTTTCATATTTGTTATCAAGGAAATTTTTCTGATGTATATGCGAAAGAATAACTTTTGAATTGTTAACTTCTTCAATAATTTTGGCCAAAATTTCAATTTTCAGAAACTAGGTTGTAGCTCTTGATTTTTTTATCAAAATAGTCGATACAAAAGTTATATTCACATGTGTGGAGAAAAAGGAAAACGATAAATTATTTTTTGAATTTAGAAAGAACATTTTCCTACTCAGTTATCAGTCATGTTATTTTAACTGACTTCCGCAAATACCTTGTGAGATACCACCTGGGAAAAGAAAAGCATGAACAGGAAGTAACAAACATTTATTATAAAATAGTTGATGAATTGTTTGGACAACCAAACTGGGGTCGATGCTCATCCGTTCAAGTGCCAAAAATTCAGAATACTCAAGAGGGGAACATTTCCATATGCGAAAATTAAAACGTTACTCTAATAACCCCATGGGGCCTATTTCAAACGCCCCCGCCAGATCTTCGAAGTGGGTCGATTTGAATGTGGAGTTTATGCAAAACAGGGTGATATTCTCTCGAGGATTCAATGTAATTATCATTGATTTGTGCTCAATAAGACATAAAGAACTGATTGGATAGGACAAACAATAGGGAGTGATACAAATCGAATTGCTTTGTTATTGACTGGAATGAAAATTAAGTCATTTTTATGTATTACTACGGAATTTAAATTATGTTTCAGTAAACAACGAAGGAGGCAGATACAAATTCCTGGATATTCTGAAATGTTTTTTCTGATTTTGAACACATTACTGTTCCATGCCGTGACTAGAAGTACGTAGTGGAGACTTAGATCATGTGATGTCGATAGATATACCTGATCTGTTCAAAAAATCAGGTGAATGTTCAAATTTCTCAAGTAACATACATTCGATTAGTGATTTCTATGTTGATACACTGGTTTTGAATATATGAATCATAGAATTTGCATCAGATTTTGTGTGAAAAAATTGAATTGAGTGCCCAAAAACACATGAGATGTTGACAGTGGCATACGATAATTGTACTCTTCTACTCTACTCATCAATAACTGACGAAAATGTTGGGAAAGTGGAGAAAATTGTTATGGATAATCGTTGAATCATATTAGAAAAGTTGCTGACGATGTTGGCATATTGGTTGGCTTATGCCATGCAAGGTTTTTTGTAAATTTTGGGCATGAAGCGTTCCAAAAGTGCCGTATTTGAAGAAAAAACGTTGCATGAGCATCGCTCAGGAATTGTCAATGATATCAACGGTGACCCAGATTTGCTTTTAAGGGTCATAATTGGTGCAGTAATTGACGAAGACTAGATAAGATGGACCATATCGGGATTTTCCGTCAAGTCACCAAGACCTGACGGTATAGGACCAGCCCTGCTTCGATGGGGACTAGATATTCTTATGCCGCACCTGGTTGGAATATTCAGAGCCCCTCTAGCTCTGAGGTATATTCCCAGTGAGTGGAGAGAAGTACGAGTAGTATTTATACCCAAACCAGGTAGGATGGACTACACCTTACCAAAAGCATCCCGACCAATTGGTCTCACATCGTTCTTTTTGAAAACTGTGGAGAGGCTGTGTGTGCGGTACATAATAGATGAAGTACTAGTTCACAACTCATTTCATCCAAATCAGTATGCATATACTCCGGGAAGGTCTACTGATTCGGCCCTTCACCACGTGGTTGGAAGAATCGAGAGATCATTGGAGAACAAATAATCCACCCTGGGTATATTCATAGATATCTAGGGAGCGTTTGATAAAACAACCTTTCCAACAATTACCCAGCAACTACACTCCAGGAATGTACCCCTGGTAGTAGGAGAATGGATACTCAATATGCTCTCTAGTAAAGCAATGAGTATTAATATAGAAGACATCACAGTGAAAGGACTGGTCATGAGGGGATGTCCACAGGGAGGGGTCTTATCACCCTTTCTCTGGAACATAGTTACGGATACCCTGATTGATCACCTCAACATAATGAATTCTACACAATTGCATATGCAGATGTCATAGTTATCTTGCAGACCGGTAAATTTGTGAACACAATGTGCGATAGAGCGCAGGATGGCCTCAAATTGATAGAAACATGGTGTAAGAAACACTCACTGTCGATCAAACCCGAGAAGACTGAGATGGTCCTTTTCACCAGGAAAATAAGTTTATTGGGCTTGAAACCTCCCGAAATTCTCAAAAGCAAACTAAACTTATCTGAAGGGGTGAAATACCTTGGTACTATCCTCGATAGAAAGCTAACATGGAACTCTCACCTGCAGAGTAGAGCATAAAGAGCATATGTGGCTCATGAGCAATGTCGGAGGACAGTGGGACGCGCATGGGGTCTTTCACCCCGTGTGGTTACCTGGATCTACACTGCAATAATAAGACCTATGTTAATGTACGGAGCCATTGCATGAGGACCGGAAGTTCTACAAGCAACGGCAATCAAAAAATTATATCAAATACAGCGACTGGCTTATTTTAACATCACAGGAGCCATGAGAACAACATCAACTGCGGCAATGGAATTATTTACTGGTCTGACCCCTCAGGACCTGTACGTTAAGGAGGTTGCGTTAATGGCCATGTTACGATTGCGCATGGCTGGTGTAAACCTCGAATCAGGAATGGGTCGATTGAGGCTACGACGAGAAGCGCTTACTGCCCTACCTCTGCTGCAGACAACCAGTGATGCAATTGAACCGAGGTTTGTGTTTAATAAACCCCATAAAATACAAATGGTACAGAACACAGAGTCAGATGCTACAAATGCCATACGCATGTGTACAGATGGCTCAAAAACCAATAGAAGCTCAGGATGTCAAGTGTACTCCAGATCACTAAGCCTAAGGATTGGGAAATGGGAAAAAATACCAGCGTGGTCCAAACAGAACTGGCTGGTATCTCAATCGCCACAAAATAAGTAACCAGGAAAGGAATTTCTGGCAAAAACATAATAACCTTCATTGATAGCAGACAAGCTCTATTAGCCAGACAGACAACGTGTTACCTCAGGGATAGTACTAGAGTTCCACCAAGATTCAACTGAAGCCTCTAGATGATAACATTATCCTGGGGTGGTTTAAAGGGCACGACAAGAGTAAAGGTAATCGCATTGCCGACTCTTCAGCCAAGGAAGCGGCTGGACTAAGAATTTCAGTGGCACCTACGGCCTGATGACTTCGACAGTTGCGGAACTAGCCTAATGTCACACCCATGCTCAATCCCTAAAGAGATGGGATACATGTAGCCTAAGTGCTGTGGGTCTATACTCCCCCTTCCTACTTTACAGATACAGACCCATGAAAAAAAGGCGGTTTATTTTGCATCACGATAATGCACCTACTTGTCGTTCTGCGAAGATTGAAGAGATAAAAATCGAATCGCTGAAAGAACTTCAAGACATACCAAAAAAAAGCATTTCAGAACTGCTTCAATAATTGAAAAAAACACTGTCAAAAGTGTATTATATCTGAAGGTGACTACTGTGAAGCGGACAAAATAGAAATTGATGAATGAATGAATATTTTTGGAAAAAAATGAAAACTCACCCTATTTTTTGAACACAGTAGTATTTGTGAATATGAATAACGTGAATATGAAGTGAATTGAAAAATCATGAAATATATCGACCGAATCTAAAAGATTCATTTCACTTTTAGGATGTATACAATCGTTAACCTCTTCAATTCCGTCATTACAGTTGATGAAAAATAAAATATTCAGGTTCTCTTTCCACTTTCTCTAGTGGCGCAACTTTTTTTCTACAAGAAGCAAATACTCTCAATGAATAGTAACCCTGAATATTTCGACGTATGAATCAGCTGTTCTTAACCTTCCCATACGTAATTTCGTATTGGAAATAATTTCTGAGGCCTTTTCTATCAGTACTTTTTGATATTGGTAGTATTTTGTATGATCAGTATTTCTTTTTGAAAAAAATGTATCAAAATTTGTAAACTTCCTGGAAGCTTCTTGATATGTTTTCTCGTCTAAAAAATGTAGTGATCATACTTCAACATTCTTCGACTACCCCTCATTTCCGCTGGATCGACATGAAGCACGACTGTTCTGTACTTTTTCTGTAGATTATGTCCTGAATAATAGTTTACTGGTCTTGTAAATCAGAATATCGAAGAGAAAATAATATCTATAACATTCCTACTGGAAGACAACTCAGGCATCTGTACAAAAATCATTTTTCGAAAGCTATAACTGAAATAATTCATTAATTCTGACGATTTCAACAATTGTTGAACATATCCGATGAGTTTTCGACAATTTCCGAAACATCTTCCAGTAAAACCGCAGAGAAATGAAGTCAATAATTAATTCGATTGGTGAAAACTGCTCAAGTCGGACTGAAACATTTCAAACTGTTTCTGAAGCTGGCTTGACAGATACCGGCAACTTGAACGGTTGAGCTGGTTGAAAAGAAAGAAGGAAAATTTCGTTGGAAAAGAGCTTCAGGCTATACATATTAATGTTTCTGTAACAGGCAGCACACGGACTGACAAACATACAGACAGAACGAACATGGGGAGATGCTGCCACTTACCGCGGTGTAAAGGAGTTCCAGAACTCGCTACATTGGGGGTTGCAGCAGCAGCAGCGACACAGGGAACACAGAAGACAGGACAATTAACTAATCACACTGTAATACGATGCGCAGACAGCAAATCGCGAAAGATTGAGAACGAAGAGACAAAAAACGTAGCGGTTCTGCGCATGTACCACAAAGCACTTGATACCCAACAGTAGCAATGATAAAATGAATTGAATGAGAAATGTTCACCTTGGCAAACATTTGGTGATTCACTTGAAATTTGGTGATCCACTCAAAATTTGGCGATTCACTTAAACTTTGATTATTCACTTGAAGTTTGATGATTACTTTGAAATTCGTCGATTCACTCACAATTTGGTGATTCATTCAAAATTTGGTGATTCAATTGAAACTTGTCGATTAATTAAAACTTTGGCGATTCACTTGAGACTTGGTGATTCGCTTGGTATTTGATGATTATCCTGATATTTGATGGTTTACTTGAAATTTGATGAATAAAAAAAATTGGTAATTCACTTACGAGCTGGTGATTCATTTGAAATTTGGTGATTCACTTGAAATTTGTCGAACAACTGAAATTTAGCGTTTCATTCAAAATTTGGTGATTCAGTTGAAATTTGGTGATTCACCTGAAAATTGATGATTAACTCAAAATTTGTGATTCAAAGTTTGACGATTCACTTGAAATTTGCTGATTCAGCTGAAGTTTGGTGATGATCTGAAAATTTTATGATCGACTGAAAAATTTGGTAATGTACTGAATTTGGTGATTCACTTGAAGTTTGGTGATCAATAAAAAATTCGGCGATTCACCTGAAATTTGATGATTCACTTGAAATTTGGTGATAAACTGAAATTCAGTGATTCACCTAAGATTTGGCGATTCACTTAAACTTCGATTTTATTCACTCACAATTTGGTGATTCATTCGAAATTTGGTGATTCACTTGAAACTTGTCAATCAACTGAAAATTTGGCGTTTCACTTAAAATTTGGTGATTCGCTTGAAATTTGGTGATTCGCCTGAAATTTGATGATTCACTTGAAATTTGGCGATTCTATTGAAAGTTTGTGATTCACTTGAAATTTGGTGATTCATCTGAATTTTGGTGATCAACTATAAATTTGTTGATCAACTGACAATATGGCGATTAACTGGAAATTTGTTGATTCTCTCAAAATTTTTGTGATTCACCTAAAATTTGCTGATTCACCAAAACTTGGTGATTTGGTGATTATACCGAAGAAAACCTTGTTTATGTACTTCAGAATGAATAATCATGTCATACAATTGAAGCAAAATCTTTGAATAGTCTCGCAACACAAATTGCAAAAAATTCAATGGCAATATAAATAATTTTAAACGTCGCCTCGCCTTTCATCTGGCTTTCCAAAGGATGGAGAGAATATATTTTGAAAATTTTGTATAATCTACCGTGGAGTATCAATTGAAATTTGGACGGACAATTTGCTAAAACTCATTCATTCAGCTTCTCTCTCAGTCTGTGACAAGACAATATGACGAATACACAGAAAATAAAATAACTGACAAAAATAAAATTTATACTACTTTACCCATCATACTACTGGTATTCAAAGAAATAAATGAAAGGAATACTCTTTTGAACACTTCAGTTTTTGGGGACGTAACCTGAAGACGTAAGTCTTCATAATTCCATCTGAGATGATGAAAAAACGTCTTTCTTCAGAAAATACGCTACGGATGAACATCCGAAAAAGCAATTTCACATATTCCTTCATCCGTGAAAATCTACACTGTATGTGTGTGACCCATTTTTAATGGAAACACCCCCCTAAAATTTGAAGTTGTGAACTGATTTCAATAATTTTCTTTTTGAAATGTCAAGTACTGAAAGGTCTACCTTGGGACAGAATTTGAAATATTTATTAAAGTTTCAGGGCATACTACGATATTTTTTCTTAGTCGAAAATCGGGATTTTTTATTAGCGATTTTTTATTGAAAAAATCATTACGGAAGTCTTTGGTNTCCCGATTTTCGACTAAGAAAAAATATCGTAGTATGCCTTGAAACTTTAATAAACATTTCAAATTTTGTTTTACAACTTCAAATTTTAGGGGGGTGTTTCCATTAAAAATGGGTCACACTGTATGTAACGTAAGTACGTGGAAATATTCAAGCGACGTATTCCAAAGAAAATTTTGAAAAACGTCTATATAAACTTGTGTCCGGGATTATTTTGAAGTGTGATATCATAATTTTCTATTGCTTTCTATGTAACATCTAGAGGGCCATGCGTACTCCGTCATTATTTATTTCAAATTGCCCTAACTTTTTTGACAGGAAATTTTTGATAAATTTCATGAATAAACCTATTTTCCACTTCTTTTCCAAGTTAAAAAAGGTAAACTTTCTCAATAACGCTGAAGGTGATCGTTTTTGAAATATTTACACTTTTCTATATCGATGCATATTACTTAGCTCCTAGGGCGTGAAATTGCTGAGAACATTAGAAAAGCTAAGTATGTGGTGTATCTCATCAGAATGAACAACTTCTTTCTTCAAAATATTCATTCGTTTTCGAGATACAAATCACTGAAATTGCAAAAAACTTATGGCAAAAACCAACCATGTTTTGAAAAATTCCAACAATTTGAATCTCGAAGACGAATGAATTTTCGATAAATATTTTAAAAGAAGTCAAAAAGTTGTTCATTTCGACGAGATCCACCACATACTTAGTTTTGTAATGTTCTCAGCAACTTCAGTTATCGCCCTAGAAGCTGAGTGATATGCATCGATATGGAAAATTGTGAATATCTCGATAACGATTACCTCCAGCGTTGTTGAAGGGATGGAAAAGGTGTGTGAATTAGGTTACCTTTATCAAAAGTACCAAAAGTTTTCTGTTTGAAATAAATAATGATAGCTTATGCAGTGCCCTCTAGATGTTATATAAAAATCAAAACAAAATTATGATTTTCCATGTCAAAAAAAACCCATGTACCAAATTTCGTGCAATTAATTTTTTGCGGAATACCCTGTATGTCCGAAATGAAGCATTTCCTAACACAAGTTTATATACATATTTTCAAAATTAAAAACCGTGGTTTTTCAAAACCCTATATAGTGAAAATCATACAATGAACCATATTAATGAGTTTTAATATGGATTTTCATCAAGTATCAGCCAGTTGTGTTGAATTGTTTTCAAAATGTTACTCCATGAAGTTCCATTGTGTACCTAAGTATGACTGTCACGTATTTTCTATGTTGAAGCTATTTTCTGGCTTTGTTGACCGTCATCTGCAGATTTGTATGGTTGACGTTTTGTCTATCACGGCGGTGAACATTATCAGAGGCAATGACGCAACAGTCGAAATGATCTAGTTGTCTTCACAGCTACATTGTTTGGTGTGTGGTTTCGTTTCTATCGGTTGAATTCGTGTATTGATGAGTGCTGGTGCCATATTTCGTTTCTGTTGATTCCCTACATTCTCAGTTGTGATTTATTGTGTGTTTTTGAATTTCCATTGACTCCCCAATATTATTGTCTCCCTAATACAGAGACAATTTCATTCAGAAGAAATATGGAATTAACATAGAAGGAGTTTGGCTACCTGCACTTCATTACCACAAATCAGGTCATTCATTCGATCAATAAAAACGAAACCGCCCCCAAAGCTGATGCAATTGAACCGAAGACCCAAACCAAAGCACTAGTATCGGCTATGAGTGATGAATTTGCTGGGATAACGTTCAACGCTGTTGTAGGCGAAACTTTAGGAATGAACGCCTGTAGATCACAGCTTACAAATCCAAAAAATAGCTTCGATACATCAATTTCCCGCCATGGAAGCTAGCTTTTCCGAGTAATAGTTGTCATCATGAATGCTGCACAAGATTTTTTTAAAGTTTATAGTTAACATTCCGATGACTATGCCAGTTGAAACAATGTATAGTATTCGGGTAGAGGTGGGAAAACATTAAATTGAAACTGAACTCAACTTGTGCTAGCCATGTCCTCTCAATACATACCTAGAACTAGTGATTACAAATTGATCGTTAATTTTTTTTTTCAAATTATAGGTCTGACTAGGCCTATCCTAGGACTTTCCGCAATGTGAGCGACAGCTCGGGCTAGGACCGGATTTAGACGTACACAAGGATGTTTAGACAAGACACAATGATGTCCCGGAACCCCGGAAAAATTCGGCTCGGAGCTCCGGGGGGAAGGTATTAGGTTAAACGGGGTGGGAAAAAGAGCTCCGCTAGGGGGTGCGATGCCCGGGCAAAGAATCAGAGAGAGCCGATCTCTGCTCTTTCGTGCAGAGCTGGAGACCTGTGAACGCCATAGAGGGTCGCGTGGAGCTTTCTCTATGGTACCTCCATCTGAGAAAGCGGATCAAGCTATGTTGGAATTATGGAAAAAGTTTTTCATCAAGCGATAGGTAGTTCCTGAACAAGGTGAACTGAATCACTGTTAATGGTTCCATTCAATTGTTAGTATTGTTTTGTTTTGAATTTCTTTTCGCATATTCACAAATTATCAAAGCGATTATCAAAGCGATTATCCAAGTGTATATACATGATAAGGCAACTTAGCAACATAATAACAACGGATTGTTCAAGAGTAGCTTATTTCGCCATTTTTCACAGCATAATGACATATGGACTAATAGTTTGGGTTTCACCATGTCATCTGGATATCATATTTAAACTATATTTCAAAGCATATTTCAACACAAAAAAATGGTTGAATATCGTACTCACATATACTTTACATATAAATAACTACGCAAATAACGTGTCGAAAGTTAACACCATGTTTCACTGGTGATAAAATCTAGCTCTTAGTTTCTGACATAACCTCAAATAGACCTGTTGTAACTAATATATCGAATCCATAAATATTAACCGCTGATCCATTAACCTCTCAACTTCCAATTGACGAAGTTTGAATTGTTTCATGTTCAGCTCTGAAGAGGGATTTTTGAAGGTTAACTTACGAATGAATAACAAATAATGAACTATGCATGAAGTAGATTTGGGCTTTTATAGCTACCAATTTTTTACTCATTTACTGGTCACCTTGTATTGGGGATTATGAAAGCAATCTCAAGTAAGAGTTCTGTTCAAAATACGATGAATTTTCGTTTTCCAAAAAATATTTATTTATTCATCGATTTCTATTATTTTCCCTTCAGAGTATCCCCCTCAGCAGCGGTTTATTCAACCGATGAAGTGGAATGGATTCTAGTTTCAGTCACTTCAAAATCATGGACCAACCCCCAAGAAAGATTTTTTTTGTGATTTTTGTAATTCAAATATAATTTTCTGAATTTATTTTCTGCGTTCAAAGTATTTATCATCAGATTTCGTGGTGTATTTTTATAAATAAGAACGTTTCAATTCATTTCTATCAGTAGGAATCCCTCATCTACCTAACCCAAGTTTTTTAATTCTATGAACTTTATAGTTATACTTCTTTTGGAAATAGAAGGAAAAAGTAACTAGTTCTGAGAATGTGAGATTGATATGATATGTAAATGAACGAATTGTTCAAGAAGTTGAATTGAAAATGAAGAACTGATACTGTTGTACTCATGCTCATGTACACAAGAGGTTTATTCTCTGAAACGTACGTATGTTTTTGAGATTTTTTGATATCCAATATAATAAACTGGATGCAAACTCAACAAATATCAGGAAATACCTCCTGAGCTGACTTTATGCTGGATTTAACAAAAATTGGTGTTTTGGCAGGGGTTCAGAAGTTTTGGCAAACGTTTCAGTCATATCCTAATGAGAAAATATTCTGAATGACTGGAACGAACACTATTTGGCATCATGGACCGCTGAAAATTGCCCAAAATAAATGAGATTTTTGTTACCAACTATTACGTGATCCACTTTAATGAACAATTCATACTTATACAGTGCCAACTCTATAACCATTCACTTGAATTTCTCTCAAAAATGGCTCATAACAGTCAGTTTGAATATCCATCCAGATTCAAGAGAAGGACAAAGACAACCCAATGAAAATTGTTAGAAAAAAGTTAACTGCCAAAACAAAATTTTATCGACCTCTACGATTAGCTTTCCATCGTTAGTTTTTCTATAATAATTCCACAGACTGGAAAATATAAGTTGCAGAATGGTATTTTGCAAACGTCGAGGCTGAACCTGAATGAGATAAATTCTGACAGAAATGATTGATGGTCAATTTAATCAAAGGGCATGAGATAACTATTATAAACTCCTTACTTTTTGAACTTGTTGCATAAATAACTATTCTCTGAAATATTACAAACTGAAGGTTTTCCTATGAGTGACCTTGCAAAAGCAAATACTTCAGTCTGCAAATACTTCAGCATACGCCAACATTTTTGAATATAATAACATGCGGTATTATTGGGTGTGCTTCAACTTTACTTCTTCATATACAGTGTGGTACCTT